AGCTTCAGTTCTAATAGTGAGTGCTCCTGAAAATCGGCCTCCGAGCCTGTCCAAATTAGACACCCAGAGGCAGATGCTCCTTCTAGGAAAGCTGCCTGAGCGAGGCTTTCCCCGAAGACGCCTTGCCCATGAGCAGAATGGCAAGAACTGAAGGTGAGGAGCTCCTGACCACCTTGCTGAGGCACTGGGTGAGCTCACCCTCCTCCTTCCAGCTCCATGCTTCCATCACACCCACAAGCCCTCAGGAGTCACCACTCCCCTCTCAGCTCTAAGGAAGACAGCAGTTGAGCTTGAGAGCACTAAATTGAGTTTTGGAGGGTGCCCGGAGCACCCTTTGGTCTCTGTATGAAATGAGGCCCCTGCTGTCACCCCAGGAGTGGCCCTTGGAGAACAAGCCCATGTGTATGTGCCTGTCAGCCCTGCAAGGAACATGTCAGTGCTCCCGAGGAGGTTGTTCCTTTGCTGTGGTTCAGCTCAGCTGTTCAAATCATCTCTGAGTGCCCTAGGGAGTGCTTTGAAAACATGATTTCCCACAGGCCTGGGATAAGGTGAGAGGTCCAACTCTGAGGTTGCTCAAACCGGAGATTCCCAAACCACAACCCCCCAAAAATGACTTGGCCTCAAGATTTAAGTAATTTCTTACACAAGGGCTGACTGGAGCTTGTGGTGCTCCAAAGTGGCAGTGTCTGCTTGGGGTCATTCTGACTGTTGGGTGTTCTTGGTGTCAACCCTGGGCAGCTGCACCAGCCCCAATTCTGTCAAAGAGGAGGGAACGTTGTGCTAATGGTCTGCAGGGTCTCCTCAGGACACTTCCCTGAGACCAGCAGGTAAAAACCAATACCACTAAGTGCTCCAGAATCCATATGCGCCCCTTTAATTAAAAGAAAAACCAGCAGTAAATGGGAAAAAGGAACATCTTTCCAAAGCCAGAGCACATGGATAATGTAACTGTGACACAGACACCCTCCCACGGGCTGCAGCTCCTACAAGAAAAGCAAGTAGCTGCTGAGCACAAGCACGTCCATACAGGAGGGGGATGTTTTAAGTGCTGACACAGATTTGGCTGACAAACACGGTGCTGGCACACTGTCTCCTTTGAAATAACAAATGCTGCCGCAGAATGTGCTCTGTGGTGCTGTGTCTGTCCCCGGGTGCTGCGAGAGTGGCTCCCAGGGAGTTCACCCTGTGAGGTGGTGTGGTCCGAAAAGCAAGACCATTTTTTTTTTGAAGTTTATTCCCGTTAAAATGTCAGTCCTGCAATTCCAGGCGACCTGGTCATAGTCGTGGGGCATAGGTCTTTGGCAATCCTGGCATACACCCGTTCAGACCAAGGGGCTGGGCAATATATTCCTGAATTAATCTATTTGGGTTGTTTTCCCCAACATGTTCTTAAAGCTGCATAAACAATGATCTTGCAACTCCAGGAGCAGAGTCATTTTGTCCTGGCCTGCAGCTCCCTGCCTACCCTGACAGAAGTTTTCTTTCCTGCTCTGATCTCTATAGTCAAGGTGTAGCTTATCTTGGAAGGTGGAATTGTGCTGCAGGGAGGGGACTAGGTCTTGGCAGGGCAAGGAGAACACCCAGGTGGGTGAATGAATTGAATCTGTGGCTTTGGCTACTGGGACACTGGGCTGGTTTTATTTCCAGCAGTTATTCAGGAGGGTAAAGAAATGAAACCAAACGTGGGAGAGGACTGGGCCAGTTTTCATCTCTCTGATGCTCTTGTCCACAGTTGCATTTGTCAACTGGGACCCACATCCCTCACCTCTTGCTGCCTACAGCTGACAGTGGAATGCAGTGCTTTGGGAGAAGCACTGTGCTTTCCTCCTGGGGCTTGTCCAGTCTCCAAAACAGGTGGAAGAAGGCTGAGGCAGCAGTGGTGCAACAGTGTCCCCCCTGGTTTCCCCCTGCCCACAATTCCATCTGCAGATAAAACTATACCCAAAAGTTATGCTGAGGCAGTATCCCAGATGGGATCCCATACACCATGACCTGCTACACTCTGCCTAAGCCAGCCCCAAAAAGCTCTGCTACAGCGAGGAAGAAGGAAGTGGAGGCTGTAACCTCCTGGAGCTTGCTTAGAAACACCAGAAAGCACAGATGGAAGGACACTGCTCGGCCTAGGGGTCCTAAATCCCCAGCTTCACTGGTGCTGGCAGTGCCCCTGCTCTGGCATGGGTGACTGGCAGCGCTGTGGGGCAATACTGGAGGGGAGGTCCCTGCCTCTGCTGCTTTTTGGGGACATCTTTGCTGCTCTAACCTACTCCCCTTCCAGGACTGTAAAGGCCACTAAGATGATTAAGGGATTGGAGCAGCTGTCATGAGAGCTGGGACTCTTTAGCTTGGAAAAACAAAGGCTTGAGAAGGGGATTCTTGTCCATGTCTTATTAATACCTAGTGGGGGTTAGAGAATCACAGAATCACAGAATAGTAAGGTTAGAAGGGACCACAGTGGGTCATCTGGTCCAACCTCCCTGCTCAAGCAGGGTCATCCCTGAGCACATGGCACAGGATTGTGTCCAGATGGTTTTTGAATATCTCCAGTGAGGGAGACTCCACACCCTCTCTGGGCAATCTGTTCAGTCTGCAGTCACTGCACAGTAAAGAAATTCTTCCTCATGTTCGGGTGGAACTTCCTGGGCATCAGTTTCTGCCCATTGCCTCTTGTCCTATTGCTGGGCACCGCCAAGCAGAGCCTGGCTCCATCCTTTGGCACTCTCCCTTTTAGATACTGATAGAGGGGCCCTCTCAGTCATCTCTTCTGGAAGCTGAACAGGCCCAGCTCCCTCAGCCTGTCCTTGTAAGAGAGATATTGCAGTCCCTTAATCATCTCTGGCCTCTGCTGGAAGCTGGTCCAGGAGCTCTCTTGTCCCGAGGAGCCCAGAACTGGACACAGCACTCCAGATGTGGCCTCACTTGGGCTGTGTAGAGGAACAGGATGACCTCCCTCGAGCTGCTGGCAGTGCTCTTCCTAATGCATCCCAGGATACCATTTGCCTTCTTGGCCACAAGGGCACACTGCTGGCTCATGGACAGCTTGTTGTCCACCAGGACCCCCTGGTCCTTCTCTGCAGAGCTGCTCTCCAGCAGGTCAGCCCCCAGCCTGTCCTGGGGTTGCTCAGGGACCTGCAAGGACCAGCAGGAGGTGATGGACAGGGTTTGGAGAAGAGGAAGGCAAAAGAGATAAAGCTTAAAAAAATTTCCCCTCAATTGAAACCGCAGAGGCACATCACAGGGAGAGGGGGAGCAGTTCCAGGGTTCTCCAGCCCCACGGTGACACCACGCAGGAGCAAGCAGGCAGCCCCGCTCCGTGGTGCAGGCACAAATCTCCAGTGTTCCCCCTCTTTCTGCCCAGCCCGTTGGGAGGTGGCACAAGACCCAGTGCTCTGCCATGCACTTTGTAGCCCGATGCCACCTCCTCCTCGGTGGGGAGGAAGGCTCCATGTCACCAGCCACATGCTGCCAAAGCTACTGAACTCAGGAAAAAAAAAATCAAAGCAGCGAGAAGTATTTGTGTTGTGAGTGCCAGGGAGGTGGCCCCCATCACAGCTACCAAGAGGTCAAAGTTCCTTCCTGGGAGAGCCAGAGGAAACAGCGCTTCCTTCCCAGTAAGCTTCCAATAAGCTTCCTTCCCAGCAAGCTTCCCAGCAATCCAGCAGCTCATAGGTGCCAGGCAAGCTGCACAGGAGGGGCACAAAACCTTCAGCCCCAGGGGAAGGTGGTGAGGGAAAAGCAGCAAGAGGGGACACAGGGAGCAGTCCCTTCTCCCAGCCCAGTACCACACAGCGAGGTGGGGACAGCGGATATCCTGGGATGAGGCACAGCAGCTTAGGGTGGTTTAGCATTCCCTGTCACACCCATCCGGTGCAAGGGCGTCTGGGGACACAGCTATGGCCACCACAGCTGCTGCAATCTGCTCCCAGTGCTGGACATGGGTCCTTACTGGTCCAAACTGGAGATCAGGGCCTGGATAACCATTCCCACATGGCAGCAGCTGGAGATGGGGAATGTGTGGATTTGCATGCACACGCACAGGGCTGTCACTGTTCCAGAGCCAGCCCTGGTTCCAGTGGCTCCCATCCTGTGTGGCCACCTCATACCACCTTGGGTGATACTTCCCGTGCCCAGCAGCCAAATTTTGGCAACATTTGGCTGAGGTGCAGGCGGTGCCAGAAATCACAATAATTTCCCACAACACCCCATCACCCTCCAGCTGTCTAAGCTGACCCTCAGCCTGCCCTGTCCCAGGGCACTGGGGCCAAAGAAACACCCTCACAGCGACACCGACACTCATTAAACGTTTGATTTTATTTCTGGTTTAAAATCAAAATTAGTCATTCTCTGTAATTACATTATATATAGATTTATAGAGACATTATAGAAAAGAATTTTTTGCTTTTGTTTTTCTGCAAAAATCTGTAAATAAAAAATAAAATAAAACAGAACAAACCAAAAAAAAAAAAAAAAAAGGTGGCAGCTTCTGTCTGTCCGTCTGTCCGTCCCTCTATTGCTCCTCCTGCCCCTGCCCTCCACGGCACTTCCCAACAGACCAGGAAAGGCTCTGGGCTGGGGTCACACCTCACTACTCTCCCTACAGCCACAGCCGGGGAGCGACAGGAGCATGTGGAGCTGGAAAGAAGAAACGCCAGCAGAATATATTAATATCTTATATCTCATTTTATTTAAGTCCTGGGGACTCCAGGTGGCAGAGGGCAGCAGTCCCCATGGCCCAGGCAACTCCTGGAAAGAAACAGCAAAGTTTCCAAAGTGCAGGTCCTTCCGGGACAGGGCGCGCGCCCTCGAGCAAGAGGAAGGCAAGAGGAGCAGAGAAATCCGGTACCTCTCCCCGCCGCCCCGGGGGGCAGGAAGGGTGGGCTCCGCGGGTATTTTAAATAGCGATCAGAGGGTGGGATGTGCAGCGAGCCCCCCTGCCCAGCGGTGCGGAGGTGGCCCCCGCGGGGCCGGGGAAGCGGTGCTCCGTAAGGCAGTGTGCGGCCGTGGCGAGCTGCCGGCGGGGGTAATACTGCGGTGTGGTGCCGAGAGCGGGAGCTGCCGGGTCCCCAGTCCGTGCAAGCCCGGGCGGCCCGGCGGTGCCTGTGCCCTCAGGGATGGCAGGTGGGCGTGCGTGGGTCTCAGAAAGCTGTACTGGCCATGCTGGCTGGTGCAAAGATCCGTGGGAGGCTGTCCAGGGTCTCCTCCAGCCGCCGGTGAGCTGATTTACCATCTTCCCCTGCAAGTACACACCATGGTCAGCGATCCGAACTGCAGTTCTGTCCTGTGCTCATCCCTGGCCACCTTTCCCGGCCTTTACAGGGAAACATGCCTAATGCCTGGCAGAGCCTGCATGCTACAGCATGGAGACCTCTCTTGTCCTCCTTAGCACACCCTTGGGCAGGTCCCAGCTGGGATCCGGCTCAAAAAGTCCCCAGAGCTCCTGATTCAGAGGTTGCAGATCCTGTTCCTCAGCTGCCCACGTGGGGCAGGGATCACCCGTGTTTGGGTGAGTGTGGAGTGCAGGAGTGTTGGCTTGTGGAGAGCCTCACTTGGGGCCACGGGACCAGTGCTCAGGGCTGTGCCAGCTCCGGCGACTCCAACAGCTGTGCACATCTGCATGCACTGGCATGGGGGTCCTGAGAGCTCCCCCAGGACCCCCGTGCACACACAGGGATGCACACACCCATGCTACAGGCTCACTCTGAGCTCTTTGCCCGGCACCCTCACACGCAAATCTGCCCACAGCGGCCAGCCCCAGCAAGAGGTGGTGACATGGACAATCTGCTGGGACATAGGACACAAGGCGTCTACATGTGCCGGGGTGCCACAGGGATGGGCACTATCAACAACCAAGACACACAGACTCCAAAACGTGACATGGCTGACAGGCTCTAAGACGGAGACATTCGTGAGCAAAGCGGCAGGAGCGGGGACAAGGGGGACGAGGACGGCTCACGTGTCCCAACCTGTGCAGCAGCTGCCGCGATCTGGAGGCCTAGAAACCCACTCAGATGGTTCTCTCAGGGCCATCTAGCAAATAATAAATAACAACCAGGCTTAGTGCTGTGGCCACAGGATGCCTGGCCCTCGCTGCCCGCCGTCAGCTTGCTCTTGCCCAGCAGAGCTCGGGGCACGATGAGCCAGAGTGTGTGGGGTAGACAGGGACCAGCCCCGGAGCCCGGTCGTCCGTGGGCACTGCTGGCACCAGGAGATGCCTCTTGGGATGCTGTGGGTGGAGAGAGAGCAGAGAAATAGCAGGACACTCACCACACAGCATCAGGCTCTGCTTGGCTGCCTCCCGCACGGGCTCTTTGTCGGTTTGGCACAGGTAAACCAGCTGCTCAATACTCTCCTTGGCCTGCAGAAGAAGGGACAAGGGGCTGAGTGTGGCTAGCACGGTGGGAGCAGGGACACAGCCCAGAGGGGAAGGCAGCACAGGGCACTGCAGCCCCACAGTGCAAGGAAGCTGCACATCCTGTCCCTTTTCTCCCCATTTCCTTTCCTGCCCTGCCCCTGCCTGCTGCTCCAGCACATTTGGGGCACCCCCAGCTCCTCTCCCACAGCAGAGGGCTGTGCAGGTGTGTCCGGAGTCACCGGCCACAGGCATTTCCTCTTCCTTTGGAACATGCAGCTCTGCTGCCTCCTTCCCCCACCCCTCTCACCTTCAGGCAGCCCAGTGCCGCACACCCCGCCACGCGCGTCTGCACCTCCTCATCCTCCAGCTGCTCCAGGAAGCACACAAGGGCCTGGGGGAGACAGGAGTCAGTGCCACCACCTGCAGCAGAGCTGGGGGCAGCCCCCCAGGGGCTGTGGCCCCAGCCCATCTCATCCTTGGTTTGCCCAGCACGTACCCGTTGGCGGAAGCGGGGGTTTTCTGCCAGGCTGCGGAGCTGGGCTGACACGGCGCTCACCACCTTGCTGTTGCCCTCCACGAGGAGCAGGCTCAGCGCCTTCAGTCCCTCCTTCTTCAGACGGGCCTCGGGCACACGCTTCAGGGCACGCAGCACCACGTCCTGGTCGTCCGAGTTGAGGTTCTGTGCCAGCAGTGCTGCAGGAAGCCGTCGGCTCAGCCAGGGTGTGGGGAGCCATGTGGCACTGCCCCTGCACCCATCACTGCAGGGAACCCATCCCTGGGCACCCTGGATCCATGCCGGGCAGAGGTGGCCCCACACAGGGTGCTCATATATGGAGCTGTCCCTCAAGATGCTGGGGACCCACAGCAAGGACTTGGGAAGGCAGCATGGGAGTGGGCTGCGCTCTGGATCAGACTGACTTGCCCAGCTCGAGGATGGCTGAGCCTCTGGGTGATGCCCCAGGGCAGCCATGGCAGTGCTGCAGGGTGATCAATGACTATGGTCATGTGCTGGCACCCCATCCCAGGGCCTAAGGAGGATGGTAGGGCACCCACCTTCCTCTGCCAGCTCCATCATGTAGGTGTCAAGCACCAGGGTGCCGAGCGACTCGAAGTGGCTCCAGTACTGGAAGATGGTGACCTGCTCGCTCTGGGCACTCCCAGGCCGCCGGGGCAGCCGCCGGTTCAGCACGTCCTCCACCAGTTTCACACACACTGCGGGAAAGAGCCAGGATCAGGGTGTGCAGCAGCTGTGGTCACCCCTCTGAGGGGCTCTTGGCCCCCACATACCCCCACTCATGGTCACCAAGTGAGGCTGCCAACTCCCGGCACACCCTTGGCACCCACTCACCAGCATCAGCCAAACCAGGGTGCTGCTCACTGATGGCCGCTGCATACTGGGCACTGAGCACCTGCAGGAACCGCTCCACGGAGCAGGTGTAGACGTTGGGCACTTCTACACAAAGGTCCCAGAGAGGCAGCACGCCCTCCTTCCGCGTCGAGAACTGCACCACTGCAGGGACAGGGGTTGTCAAACCTCCTGAGGCCATGGCAGCAGGCAGGTGACTCCCGCCCTCCGCCTGGCATGGCCCCTTTGCTGCCCAGCCGTGCCCACGAGGGGACACCAGGCTTCACACAGCCTCCAGGGTGGCACAGAGGGTCCCCTCAGCCGCGTGTCCTCACCATCAGCGGCCGAGCTGGCTGCTCCCGCACGCTCCTCCGTCAGCTGGCACACGATCTCCAGCACCTGCGACTCCCGCAGCAGCCTGTCCAGGGCATACATCTCCTGGCACCGCAGGGGACCGAAGGTGCCCAGCTTCTGCAAGGCACGGCCAAAACAGACACCTCAGGGACAGAACTCACCGCCCACACCACAGTGCCTCCGTGCCACAGCAAGGCACCCCCTGAGGGGGGACCTACAGCCCACCCCAGGGTGTCTCCAGCTGCTGTACCCCATCCCTGGTCCTCACCAGCAGCAGGCAGTTGCAGTTGTTGAGGTGAAGCACCAGAGCCTTATCCAGGAACTCGTTGCCGGTGCTCATGGGGTCGGTGCTGGCCTCAGAGCCGCTGCACATTCCAGTGTCATCTGCCCCCATCTCGCCGGTGCTGGGGGCCCGGGTGCTGCGCAGGGGTCTGCCAGCCTTCCTGCAAGCCAGGGAGAGATCAAGGCACTGGATCAGCACAGGAAACCTGAATCTGGCTCTTCCCCACCCACAGGACAGAGTTTCTGTAGGACCCATAGCATCACAGCTGGGCAAAGGAGCAGGTCCCAGAGGCACAGGTCCCCTCCAGCCCAGCCCCATGGAGGGATGCAGGGTGATACTGTGCCACCAGAAGGACCAGATACTGCTGTTTCTTGGCCTGGCCCTTCTCTGAGCTGTGATGGGCCAGTCTAAACGTGCTTGGGCACCCTGGCAGAGGTGGCCATTCCCCATCCCTTGCTGCAGGGGTGCCTCCTGCCCCGTGCCCCATCCCATGAGCCCCACTGTGCACCTCTCATCTTGGAGAGGCTCCTCCTCAGAGCCCTCTGAATCCTCCATGTCAGAGGTGTTGAGAAAGCTGAAGCTCTCCAGCGCGTGCTCCACTGTCAGGCTGATGCTGGAAGCCCGGCTGAGGAAGACACCCTGCTTCTGCTGTGGAGGAAGACATGCTGGGGTCGAATCCTGGTTCACCAGCCAAGACAGCCCTGCCACACATATTCCCAGCTATGCCATCAGGGATGGCCCCATCTCCATCATCCCCGGGCACTGCCAACAGGGGTGAACCCTGTCCCCATCATCCAACCAGGGTGACTCTACCCTCATCATCTCTAAGCACTGCCACCAGAGATGATCACCATTCCCATCATCCCTGGGCACTGCCAGCAGGGATGGCTCTATCCTTGTCCACCAGCACTGTCAGCTCGGATGGACCCATCCCCCTTGTCTCTAGACACTGTCAGAGGGGATAGCCCTGTCCCCATAATCCCTGAGCACTGTCAGTAGGGTCGGCCCTGTCCCCATTGTCCCCAGACACGCTGCCAGCCACAAATGCCCTGTCTCCATTGCCCCTGGACACCACTGAGAGCTCCTCACCAGCAGCATCTCCTCCAGACGCTTGAGCTCCCGTTCAAGGGGCTGCAGCTCTGGGAACTGCCCCCGATAGTCCTCCAGGGCTGAGCCCAGAAGGCTGATTGCCTCCTCCAGCCCTGAATCCACCACCTTCCCCTGTGGCACCTCGGGGGCACTGGCAGGCAGCGGTGGGGTGGGGACAGGCCTCTCCTCCACAGAGGCTTGTGCCAGCGCTGCGGGGACCTCGGTGTCACAGCCACCCTGTGCTGGCGCCTGGCTCTGCACTGGCTCGGCTCTGCCAGCCTCCACCTCACAGGAGGTGGCCCACGCCGCAGAGGCTCGGGGCTTGGCCTCAGCGTCCCTGTCCTGCCCTGCCACAGCTGCTGCCACCGCGGCGCCAGGGAGAGAGTCTGCATCTTGCTCGCCCATCCCTGTGTCCTCTGGGCTGGGCATGGGCTCCCAGGGGCTCTCCACAGCCTTGGCCTCCATTGTGGCGTCCACGCTGGCCTCGCTGATGTGGCTCAGAGTCCGGGAGTAGGGCATGTGCCCGTTGGCCACTGTATCCTTCTTACGGCTGCCCGACTCCTCTGGCTGGCTCCCGGAAGGGGAGACGCTGCTGCCACTGGTCCCAAGGCCAGTCTCGGCCTCTTCTGGTTGCTGGGAGAAGGAGATCTCGATGGCTGGGGCGGAGGCCTGCACCTCGGGCTGCACGATGGGCTTGTGGGCGGCATGGCGGGCGCTGCCGGACAGCTGGGGGCTGGAGGAGTCGTCCGAGGACTCGGAGGAGATGGACCAGGCTGTGCCGTTCTCCAGCTCCTCCTGGCGCCGCAGCATGTTCTGCAGAGGGGAGAGTGGTGTCAGCCAAGACCCTCCTCCTGCTGCCCCTGCTCTTCTGGCTGTCTTCCTGTCAACCAGGGGCAGGGTCCAGCTGAGCTGGAGGGCACTGAGGCTGCCAAAGCTCTGCTGGCACAGCAGGATGGGCAGCGAGGTCCCAGCAGACCATGGGTGCCTATTCCAGCCCTGGATCTCACCCCATGCCAGCAGGCAGTCTGCCTCCCTATGCCCAGCCCCTGGAGCCCTGGGGTGCCAGCTGCTCCCCAGCACAGTGGGATGCAACACCTAGAGCCAAGGCTGCAAGGCTGAAACAGGTCCAGCATCAGCTCACGGGGATGGCACCAGCCATCACACCAACGTCGTGGTTCAGCGTCACTGAACCGGTGCCACGTCAACATCATGTTAGAGTCAAACCAGCACCATGACACCATCACACCAGCACCGTCACCAGCACCATGCCAATGCCACGGCACAGCACACCAATGCCACCAGCACGGGGACACAGAGAAGCTTTCTACTCACTAGTGCCCGGTTCTTGCACGGGGGTGAACCCAGGCTCCCCTAGATTGGGGACTAGCTCTGCAGGACCGGCCAGACCCCAGCCTGGCAAGATCAGGCCTTAGGGCATCAGTGAGGGATGGTGAGTAGGAGACAAGGAGCGGCTACGGCTACTGCGGGATGGCCACACTGCTGGGCTAAGCTACCGGCCTGCTCCAGCCCCGCACTTACGCGGCCCTGCTGCGGCCATCTCCCGAGCTCGGCCGAGGAGACATCGCCGCAGGAGCAGCTCTGAGAGAGCTTCTCGAAGAGTGTCTCCCGAAAGATGTCCAGCAAGGACCAACCGCGCTTGTCGGCCGCCCGCTCTGGGCTCTTGGGCAGAGAGAAGAGGAGCTGTGAACGTGGGAGGGAGGAGCAGGCACCGGTACCGGGGAGTCGTGGCTGGATGGCTGAAGAGGAGCTGCCCACCCCTGTCCCTGAGCTGTGCCACCCTCTGAGATGCAGTGTGGGCACATCCCCGTGTGGACCCCACCAGCGCCCACCTCTCCTGAGCAGCCCTGCCTGGTTCACACTTACATAGAACGCCTGTTCCCGAAGGGACGGCGTGTCAGGCGGACTCTGGTTGTAGGTGGAGAATCTCTTGTTCACTGTGGGCGCCTTGTTGACGGTGCTGGCTGCTGAGGGCTGGTCATCCTTGTCAAAGGGGCTGGGGAGGACAGCAGGGAGGTGAGGGATGTGTGCCAGCTTGGGGGGGAAGTCTCAGGACATCAGGATCCCCTCCATTCCAGCTCTGGTTTTCCATAATTACAGGCCAGTTTTGGGATGGGAGAGCCTGGGCAGGTCACCTCTTGCCATGCCATACTGGGTATCCCCAGCACTGCCATGTGCCACCACCAATGCCTGCTGAGGTACTCACTTCCAGGTCACCTCCAGGCTGAGTTTGAGGGTGCCCAGGTCATTGATATCCACAGCCACTACCTGGGGCAGAGCCGCAAAGAGGTCCTTGGTCTCGCAGGATACATTGCCCACCACCACATGGTTGGCCAGGCTCTTTAGCTCTGTCACCTGGAGAAGGAGGAGAGGAGGAAATGAAGCCACGGGCCAGTGAGAGTGAGGTGCTGGAGGGAGGCTCAGGAAAGTGGTGGAATTGCCATCCCTGAAAATGTTCAAAAAATGTGTGGATGTGGCACTTGGGATACAGTTTAAGGGTGGGGCTGGACTCAATGATCATAGTGGTCTTTTCCAACCTAAATGACTCTGATACAGGGGGGTAGCTGGCCCACACCATCCCTGCCCTCTTCTGCACTGTACCTTGATGGAGAGGAACTCGGTGATGAGGGGCAAGAAAACCATTTCCTCGCTGTCCCACACCTGCTTGCTGTTCACCTCGATGCGCCCCCGCAGCTTCCAACGCTGCCGTCCATACTTCATGAAGATCTGGGGATGCAGAGGTGTGGGTATGGGGGAGACAGGACACCAGGGTGCTCTCTGTGTGTCCCCAGGCATGGCCACGGACCCATGCCACCCACCACCACCCTGCAACATGCCCTCCACGCCAGTGCCCACCTACACCCCCGAGACAGCCCAAGGATCACAGGGCAGGAGAAAAGCAGAATCCAACCCATATTGTCCCACCAACCTCATACTGGTCACCAGCACAAAGCCGGGCAAAGCCTGCCAGTCCTGGAAGAGAAGGCAGAGGGGCGTCAGCAGGCAGCAGGCAGCCAGGCAGGCAGAGGGATAGGGATGGAGCGGGACATGGTACCTTTCATCCGGACATGGAACTCGCCCAGCTGGCTCTCCAGATCATTCTCCAATAGACACATGTTCTGGGAACACACAGATGGATGGACAAGACCCATCAGCACATGCTCATGGGACCCAGCACCCTGCCAGCCCACCCCTGCCAGCTGCCTCACCTCTGTGTACTCCTTGTAGCCCTTGCTGGCCTCGGCCAGGCTCTCCCGTGCCTCCCGGCTGCCTGGCGAGCCCGTGCTGTAAGCCTTGACCATGTTGTGGGCTCCATCCCGGAGCCGCCGCTGGATGCAATAAGCCTCATACAGCTCATCTATCTGCAAGGACAGGCCTGAGCTGTGACAAGGAGCAGGGTTGGGGACAGCACGGGAACCCTGGTGTGGCACCAAGGTTACCCCAAGGTGACCCCAGTCCCCAGCTCTCACCTTGCTGGCATGAAACTCCAGGCGACGCAGGAAGCGCTCAATGGACTTGACTTGCTGGAAAAGCAGAGGAGATGGTGTGAGTGGCAGCGCAGCTGCTCTGTGGAGACGTGAGTCAGGATGTGCCCTCTGTGTCCCCCACGCTGTGTCTGGGACACGTCCTGGACACCAGCCCTGCCTGGGAGCTGCAGGGTGGCAGCCACCAGGGAGCACCCTCGTGCTGCGGCCTCCTCCAGGCTTTCCTGCTCTTGAGGGTCCTCCAGGAGCCAAGCCAGGCTCCAGGGTGCTTTTTTGCCCAGCCTCAGAGACAACCTGAGCCCAGCACTTGCTAACAACAGCTTTCGTTTGCAAGAAGCGGGTTACAAGCACATCTCTGCTTCATCCCCTGCCCACAGCCACCCTGCCTGCAGAGCCCCAATCCCTCCCCACCCTGATCCCAGGGGACAGGCAGCAGGGCAGTGCTAGCGGAGCAGGGCTGGCAGTAGAACATCCCAGGCACTTGGAAGGGAGATACGAGGGGGATGGGGCACTGATCCCACTTACCTTATCCAGATCGTAGAGAAAGCCCTGGAGGAGAGAGGAGAGGGATAAGATGCAGCACAAAGCCCGCTCTGTCCACCCAAGGAGACCCAGCACATTGCACCCACCACCCATAGCATGGCAGTGGGACATGCAGCACCCAGCCGGGGCTGGAGAGTGCATGACAAAGGGACAGGAGCCCTGTGAAGCCCAACACCAGAGCCTGGGCTGGCTCCCCACATCCCCACAGAAACAGGCTCTGCCCCAGGACACAGATGGATCACGAGCTGCCCCAGCTGTGCCACAACCCTGGCTGTCTGCCCAAGGCACCACTCCCTGTAAGGCTCTTCCCAAGCAGCACTCACCAGGCGTGAATTCCTCTTGGACTCACGGATCTGGGTGCTGAGCTTCTCCAGTTCCAGCTGGTGCACCTCAAGGTAGGCTCTGAGGGAAAACACACCATGGGGGTCAGGCTGGGATGCTGTATTCCAGGCTCCTGCCACCCACAGCCCACACCAACCCTGCACACCTGGCACTGCATCCCCACTCCCTGTTCCAGCACCCAGGTGTGGGAACCCATTCATGCCTCTACATGGGCTGTGTTGGGATGCAGGACCCAACACAGCTCCAGGACCCCAGGGCACCGTGCCCAGGAGACCTGGCATGCCCCTGCCTGGTGAGAGCAGAGAGCTGCCAACCCCAACCCACGTCACAAGCTGTCCCTGTGCCCCTCAGGGGCTCCCTGCCTCCACCCACCCGGCCACAGGGAGCCCCAGCACTTACGTCAGGCCTTTCTTGAGAGCTTCATACACCTCGTCCAGGCGGTTGGGCTGAGGCACCTTGGGTGGTGGGGATTTGTGGGACATTGAGAACATCCTACTGACCCTGGAGCCAGTCTTGCGGGAAACAGTGGGGGTGAAGGGCGAGAGGTTCCTGGGGAGAGAGGCAGGCAAAGCCAGGATGGCCGCAGTCAGCACACAGCACCAAGGTCCTCCTGGATGCCTCAGCCTGCTGGGCACCCTGTCTCAAGACAAGAAGGAGCTCTGGGATGGAGGCCAGGTCCACCTGTTTCTCCCGGGACTCTCCAGCAGTCAGTCTAACCAACCAGCAGGGCTGGAAGACACAGAGCCATAAAGCTGGGCAGCGCTGCCTGCACCACATGCCTGCAGACCCCTGCAATGCATCTGGCTGCTCCAAAACCATGGGAAAGACAAGGAGAAACCCACAAAGGTAGAGCTGGAGAGGAGCGGGGAGGTAACCCCATCCCAGCGGGGTCCAAGAGTCTGGCTGTGGTACAGCCTCTGTGAAGGTGGGGAGGTCCCAGGTGCTGGTCAGGGGGAGCAAAGGCAAATGGAGATGGCACCAGCTGGAGCCAAGCTGTGTTCCTGGAGTGCCTGTGGGGACATCTCCAGCCCTGGTGCCCCTCTGAAGGGGCCATGCTCTGCTCCATCCCCAGCACCCCAGGCTGCCAGGGGCTTAGAAATGCTCTCTGGGCACTGTGGCAGGGTGACACATGCCACCTTTGGCTTGACAGCCTGTCACCTGCTCCCAGGATCAGGCAGAGATCCCAACGGGTGGCAGCACAGGATAACCCTGGGGACCAGCAGCACTGTCACCCCATCACACAGCGCGGCCCCATGGGACAAGGACATCCTCACTGATGCTGTGCCTCTCCAGATGTCACCAAACCTGCTGGATGGAGCTGCCTCCCCCAGCCAACCCACAGCGTGCCGACCCAGCGCCCGGGACCTGAACACCTCCCTTCCTGCCTTGTGCAATGGAGTCACTCCCCAGCCCAGCCAGCAACGCCTCGCTCAGACCGGCTCTTCCCTTCCTCCTTTCAAAGCATCGTCACGCCACCAGTGCCCAGGAGACACCAGGGGCTCCTCAGTTCCCAGCCTCAGGCTGTACCTCCCATCCTGTGCCGCTCTTCGCAGAAGTGACCAAAACACTTCCCCGAATCATCCGTGGGGGAAATGAATGTCTTGGCCTCCTCCCGAGCTGGAGCGATGGGTAAGCGCCTAATTTCCACCATTCCTCCTCATTCCCGTCCTCCAGAGTCCCTGGAGGCATCTCCCACAAGCATCTCCCCACCAGCCACTTGGCTGCAGGCATCTAAAAATCCTCCCTATTCCCTGTCCCTAAGCAACCCCCTCTACACCCCCAGATCAACCTAAAAAGTGTTACTTGGTCCAGAGGACAGGACTTGGGGACACCAGGACAGGACCTGGGGACAAGAGCTGAGCAGGTCTGGAGGATTTCTGGGCACAGGGAGGCTTTTCCTGGGCTTGTGCCCACCCAGAGAAAATGCCCCCAGCGTGGTCAGGCAGCTTGGCACTGCTTTCCTTGGCCATTTGGCTGAGAGACATCTTCCCCTAGCACCGGTGGGTGCGCTGGAAAGTTAGAAGCTTGGGTGAGCACTAGGAAAGGGGATTAAAAGCACTAAATTGCTTTAGTCCCACAACCCAACCTGTGGCATTCCCAAGAACCACCTCTGAGAGGGTATCTGGGAGCTAGGGATGGGGGGGAGGGAGGTGGTGGGGACAAGCAGTGCATGGGGTGGTTGTCACTGACAGGAGGCTCAGCAGAGAGGAGGAGGAGGAGGAAGGGGATGATGGGACCATAACATGGCCAGTGAATGGAGAGGATGAGTAGGGAATGGCTGCTCCTCGTACCACAGTTGACAGGAGGCCAGTAAAACCTTCAGTGACAGGTTTGAGGTGACCTCGAGGAAACCCTGATTCACACCAGCACTCACAACCCCGAAACTGGCCGCCTCAGGATGTCAAGGCCATCAAGACACTTCAAAGCCACCCCAGCTCCAGCGCACCCATTAAACACGATGAGATGGTCACAGGGAAGCTCTTAAGAGCGGCCTGAAGAATGAGGTGAGCTACACCTGTCCCCTCCATGCTCCGGTGGCTGCAGGGTCCTCACCCTGCCTGGGGTACAGCACAGCGGAGGGTTGGGGTGATGGGTTCTGTCTCCCACATGGCCTCAGTGCTCCCAGCAGACCCCTGTGCAACGTCCCCTGGCTACCACAAAGGTCCCTGAGGGAGATGATGGGACAGCCGGATGGGAAGGAGCCGCGGGATGTACAGCAGGTCCCACCACAACGCCCAAGCCTGTCCCTGTCCCCAGGATGAGCAGCCATCTCCTACCTGAAGGGCCGGTCGGCCGATGAGTTCACTCCGGCAAAGGACTGGCTCCTATTGATCTTGGTGACGAGGACTCTGCGCTGCGGGCGCACAGACAGTGACATCGTTGAGTGTGACCTGGAGGGCCTCCCTGGGGACAATGACACAGCAGGGTCACCAGCAGCCGGGTGGGGACACACACGCAGACAGAGGTGCCGCTGGGACTGAGAGTGGCACCCATGGACCATGGACTGCGAGCCTTCCCAGCCTCTCAGTCCAAGAACACTTCTGGTGGCACTGGGACACAGGGCCCATTCTGCCCCCAGGGATGCTGCCAGTGGCCTGCCCTGGGTGAAGCAAGGCCCTGGACACTGTGAGCACTCAGTGGGGACAGACGGACGGATGTGTCCGAGCTTGGCCCCATGGGAGCCACAGGAGGGGGCTGATGCCCAGTGCCTGCCATGGCCCTTCCCAGACATGACCAAACCCTACGCTGTGTCCCAGGCCAGACACCTCCTCCTGAACCCTACTTTGTCCCACATCCTGCCATCACCCGTGCCACCCTGCTGCAGGGGCAGGAAGGGCGCAGGGCTGGACCCAGACGCCCAGCCCTTTGCTGTCTCCTCATTCGCTTCCGCTCACTCCAGCAACCAGGAGGGAAACCCAAGGACAACAAAGCACTTTGGAAAGTTCCTGGCTTTGCCAGGAGCTCTGTGTTGGGGAAGAAAAGGCTGAGCCATTCCCTGCCAGACCCTGGAAAATCCGTGCGGGCAGCACATGTCCAGCCCCACAGCTGCTGCACCCCTGCAGTGACGGTGCCAGGAGACCTGAAACTGGTGCTGGTACCTGCCTGTCCCCACCACAGCCAGTGCAGTGGATGCCAACCAGGATGATGCAGATTTCTGAGTCTTGGGGCAGGAGCATCCCTGCAGCCCTGGCTGGAGCTCACAAAGAGCAGCCCAAAGCACAAGGCAAGGGCAGGGGAGTCTGGGGCTCCCCGGCCACCCCCAGCAGTGCCAGCTGGGCACAGGGAGGAGCCCAGCCCACAGGGCAGCCACAGAGGAGCGGGATGTGGGATGCTCCACTTCATTCTGCCCACTGCTGATGGCAGCTCAGTGCCCCTATCCCTGACAACCCCGAGCTGAGCTGTGGGTTAGGGAGCCAGGAGCTGCTGGGGATGAGCCCACATGGCATCCAGCAGTCACACACCCCGCCAGGAAAGGCCAGGCAGGGTCCTAGGGATGCACAGCTTCCCTGACTGGCAAACTAGGCCAGAGCCACCTCCCCGTATCCCAAGGGGCTCACTCCTGCCTCCAGCATGGCTGACAGCCAGTGGACACCACAGGGACACAGGCTCTGCTGGGGCTTCCACCACCATTCCCACTCCTTCCCCAAGCACAACAAACCCAAGACCCTGGCCCAACCTCGCCCTACGTGGCTCACACCCACTCAACCACCAGTGGGTACCCCCCAGCACTGTGCCCCTCGCCGCCCCACACGCCAGGTTGGGGCCAGGGATTTGCAGCCAGAGCCATTCAGAGTCAAAGGCAGCCACTGCCGCTCACCTCTATCCCAGTGGAGCTGGGAGGCAGCAGGTCCATCTGCTTCCCCCTCGGCACTCGGGTCCCAGCCCAGGACCTTGGAGCTGCTCGGCGGGTCCTGTGGCCTCAGTGCTATCTGGGTGCCAGTCCCTCCATTTTCCAGGACAACACTGTCCCAATTAAGCTCATTAGAAGGAGCTGTAATCCCTGGCAGCCCGGCTGACCTGCAGGCCTGGGCAGATTACCCTCTGCAGGGCTCTTTAATCTGCTCCCCACTGAGCAAGCCAGGCCTGTGGCTCCCGTGCTTGCTCCTCAGCTGGGCACTACAGCAGCTCATCCATAGGGACAGCACCCACCACCCCTAGGATGAGGCTCTCCATGTGTGAGGTGGGTCACAGCTCCTTTGGGTGTGCATGGTCCTGCCAGCCCATCCTTCTCTAGCCCATGCTGCCATCTAGGGGCTCAGGGGGAGCTCTAAAGAGGTTTTCTCAGGCAGGAGCCCACCCTGAGAGCATCACGGGGGAGGAGGACGCTGGGGGCATCGCAAGAGAAGGACCCTGGAGGTATCACAGCAGAAGGATGCTGAGGATGTCTCAGGGAAAGAAGGACACTGGGGGTGTTGTGGGAGTGAAGGATGCCGGGGGTGCTGCAGGGGACTGATGCTGCAGCACAACTCCCCAGTGGAGTCACAGCAATCTCCAGCCACTTGCCCCAGCACCTCAGAGACTCCAGCAGCCTCTTGTGCCGTGCTGGGTCATGCTCCAAAGCACCAAAGGCTCCTGCACTGGCACAGGGAGCAGTGCCATGAGCGGTGGCTGCTGACAGGATCACATCCCTGTGCTACAGCCCTGGGACCCAGCTCTCCCCCAAACACCCACCACAACACACCATGGCACCCTGCATCCCCACCCCTGGCACCCTGCAACACAGATCCTAGGGCAGGACCCCAAATCTCCTTTGAGGAGAGGGACCCCATGCCCCTGCTGAGCCCGGCACCAGCGGGCAGCCAGCTGGGTGCCAAAGGGCAGCACTCCCTGCGTGCAGCAGGGCAGGCAGGGTGGGGGGTCTCTGCTCCTGGCACGATTGGGCTTGGCTCACAGAGGAGGAAAAAACCCAGCATAGTGCATTCCTGACATTACCGAGATAAGAGGTACCTGGTACCAGCAGCACAGGCAGCCCCTGCAGGGAGCAGAGCCCAGGGCACCCTTGGAAGGGCCACTGCATTTCACCCAGCCTGGTGAGCCCCACACCAGCCTTACCAGGAGGCTGTCACCAACAGAGCACTGACACACGTGTCCCTGCCATGTCCCTGCCCCAAGCACATCCCTCCTTTTCCTGAGAAGCAGACGCAGAGGTCCTGCCCCAAAGGTTCAGTCCCAGCAAGCCCCACTGCCCCCTGCCCTTAATTAGGGCTTCGGTGCTAACGAACCTGCCTCCCAACCAAGGTTTTCACCTTTTCTGTGCCACAGACTGCCTCCAGCTCCCCCGGCGTAGGAAACACAATCCTGGGAGTCTGTCCGTCTGTCCGTCTTCAGCCAGCACTGCCCATGGGCAGAGGCCAAAAGGGCAGCGAGCAGCTGGACAGGCGGCACAGCGTGGGGTGCTGGAGCCCACCCCGGGGCTCTCCAGCCCGGCAGCCAGCTCCTCTCTCGACACCCGGTGCTCTGGAGATGATTGGGATCCCAAGAATGCTGGTCTGAGCGGTGGAGGGGGCAGTCCGACCGGCTGGGTTGGTCCCAGCTGGTTTCTGTTTCCGACACTCAGACACCAGCCTCAGGTCGCTCCAGCGGGTTTATCAACACTGCCCTGGTCGGAGACGCCCCAATCTTGCTCCCCCCGAATCCCCAGCCTGCTGCCCTGGGACCTGGGGGTGCTCTGATCAGCATCTCCAGGGATGTTACTCACTGATGGCCACCAATGCCCAGGGTGGCCAAACCAGCACCCTCCAGCACCCCTGACCTCGGGGGGGGGCACCCACGACCAGCCAGCAGCACCCACGGAGCACGGATAAACGTGCCCCTGGGGGCCAAGGGGCTTTCCCAGGAGGTGCTGGGCTGTGGTCCCCACACTGATGGCACTGAGGGGCACAGCGGGACACCGGTGTCCCCCTGCAGTGGGGAGGCCATGGTGGCCACAGGACCATCCATCCCGCCCGTGGTGTCTGAGGCAAGCGGGGGGTCCTGCCAGCCCCTGCCCCAGCACCCTTGGGTGAAACTCGGGCACACGGTGGGGGTGACCTCGGGAGCCTGTGAACTCCGCCCACTGGCACAGCTCCCTTCGGAGCAGCCGCTGCATCCGTGTTTGCACAGCTGTGGCCCCGCTGCCCTAACCCCAGCACGTACCCCGGCCCCCACCGGCCCCTTCCGGCCCCGGGACGGCCCTTGGCCGGCTCCCAGTGTGGGCTGGAGCAGCTCTTCCCTCCCATCACTCCTCATCCCTCCCTGCCACAGAGGATGGGAGCATCCGGGGACCGACACCATCCCACCTTGGTCACAGGGAGCCTGGGAGCCGCCTCTTCCCTGACCTCCTCCATGCTCTGCCTCTCCTCCAGGAAGGCAGGACACCTCCCAGCTCCCCCTCGTGCTGGGCAAGGAGGGGGGGGGGGGTTGGGGGGTCAGAGGGGGGGGGGGGGGGGGTTTGGGAGTCAGATGAGTCAGTGAATGGATCCTGGCGCCCTGTGACTCAGTCGGGAGAGAAATTCCCGGTCATAAGGTCACAGCCCTACAGCCCCCACCAGAGCAGGGGGTGCTGGTTTGGTTGGATGGGCGCTGGGTGCTCTCAGCTGTTTGGGTTGGATGGGTGCTGGATGCTCTCAGCTGTTTGGGTTGGATGGGTGCTGGGTGCTCTTGGCCTTGTGGCAGTAGGGGCATGGTGGTGATATCCGCTCCTGCGGCCGTGGGAGGCCGCTGGCTCCTTGGGCCAAGTGGGAGGGCAGCAGGAAAGGGAAGGAGCTGCGAATGGGAAGAATTGGAGGAAGTGCTTATTTACCCCGTGGAGTATCCCCGCGGAAGGGCAGGGCACGGCACAGGCAGACACTCACAGCCAGTCCCTCGGGGGGGCTCACAGCCTCCCACCCCAGCACCCATCCCACGGCCTCCCTGTTTCCAGCCAGAGGGGGATGCAAGCCCCAAACTGTGACCCAGGGAAGTGGCCACCATTGGGAGAGGGGTTTCCTCAGGGCCTGTCAGAGCTCGAGCCCAATGTGGCTCCTGAAAACCAGTCGAGGACCACCATGGTCCCCCACCACCAAAGGCACAGACCGAGCACCCAGCCAGGATCCGCACGGACACTGCTCACTCCCATGCCCTGTGAGATGGGACTGCAGCCTGGCCAGGGGCACCAGACCCCACTCCTGAGTGGGCTGTGATCCCTCTCAGGGATGCTGGGATCCTCCAGAAAGATCCTTCTGGGATTGGCATAACCTTGCAGAGGTCCCATGACCTTACCCCTGACCCGCACATCTCCAGGGTGCTCTGTTGGGTATCAGTAGCTTCCCCCACAAATCCTGCCCGGGCAACTTGGTCTGAGTGCACAAGAGTAGTCCCAAGACCCTCTGTTCTGCCCAGTTCCCCTGGGACCACTGTGCCAGGGATGTTAGACATAGAGCCAG